GGGGGACTGAGTACACAGTACTGGGGGACGGGGAGGGGGGCGGGGTACCGAGTACTCAGCACCCGGGGAGGGGGACTGAGCGCCCAGCACTGTGGGTTCTTAGCAGACAGCACTGTGTGTACTGAGCACCCAGTACCCTGATACTGAGCATCCACCCTACAAGTACCACCCAGCACTGTACTCAGCAACAAGCACTCTGTGTACTCAGCACCCAGCACTGTGTGGACTGAGCACCCAGCACCCTGATACTGGGCTCCCAGCACCCTAGTACTGAGCACCCAGCACTGTGTCCACTGAGAAGCCAGCGCTCTCTGTACTGAGCACCCAGCACCCTCCCCACTCAGCACCCAGCCCTTCACACACCGAGTCCCCAGCACCCAGACCGAGCACCCGGGACCCTGTGTACTGAGCACCCAGCAGTCTGTGCACTGAGTTCTCAGTACCCCAAGCACTCAGTACCCAGCACTCTCCTCATTGAAGACCCAGCCCTGGATGTACTGAGCACCCAGCACCCAGCACCCTAAGCACCGAGTACCCAGCCGTCTATGTACCAAGTGCCCAGTACCCTAAGAACTGAGTCCCCATAACTCCTCCCACCGAGCACGCAGCATGCGAAGCACCGAGTACCCAGCACCCAAAGCACTGAGCACCCAGCCGTCTAAGTACTGAGCATCCAGCACTCTATTCGCTGAGTTTCCATCACCCTAAGCACCAAGCACCCAGCACTCTATCCACCCAGCACACTAAGCACTTAGCACCCAGCACTCCATGGACTGAGAACCCCGCACTGAGCACCCAGCAAGCACCCTAGTGACTGAGCACCCAGCACTCCATGGACTGAGCACCCAGCACTCTAATCACCCAGCACCCAATACCCTAAGCACCGAGCACCAAGCCCATCAGGCACCCAGCACCCAGCACTCCGTGTACTGAGCACCGAGATCCCCAATGACTGAGCACCAAGCACTCTATGTACCGAGCCCCAGCACCCTCAGCCCCGAGCCCCCACCCCCGCAGGTACCGAGCACCCAGCACCCCACCCCACCTGGGAGGCCATGAAGCCGTGCGCCAGGTCCATCAGGCGCCGGAAGTCGGCGTCCTCGGGGCCCGGGGTGGGGGGGACGGCGGACATCTTGTCAGGGGCGCGTGCGGGGCAGAGGTGAGGACCGAGTCCCAGCACCCGGGGAGAGAGAGGTGAGGACCGAGTCCCAGCACCCGGGGCTTTAAAGGCTGAGCCCGGGGGTTGGGAAATCCCGGTGACGTCAGCGGCTGATCCGGGGGCGGGGCCTGGGCGGGCGGTGACGTCAGCGGCCGATCCGGGTCGGGGGAGGGGGCGGGGCCAGGGTGACGTCATCAGGGCGGGGCCTGGGGTCAGGGGTGGTGACGTCAGCGGCTGATCCGGGGCGGGGCGGGGCCTGGGTGACGTCATTGGGGGGCGGGGCCTGGACGGGTGGTGACGTCAGCAGCTGATCCAGGTCAGGGGAGGGGGCACTGAGTACCTAGGACTAAGCATTGAGCACCGAGCACTGAGCACCGGGACCGAGCCCCAGGGACTGAGCACCGAGCACCCGGGACTGAACACCGAGACCCCCAGAAATGATGGACACCTGAAGCCCCGCCCACTCCAAAGTCCCGCCCCCGGGGATGATTGACACCCGGAGCCCCGCCCACCCTGGAGCCCCGCCCACCCCAAAGCCCCGCCTACCCGAGTATGATTGACACCCTGAAGATCCAAATCCAAAGCCCCGCCCCCGGGGATGACGGACACGCGAGGCCCCGCCCCTGGGGATGATTGACACCGGGAGCCCCGCCCACCCCCGCAGCCCCGCCCCCAGGAATGACGGACACCCAAGGCCCCGCCCCCGGGTTGATTGACGCCCGCGGCCCCCCCCACCCCCCCTCCTAATCCGGCCCCGACCCCGATCCGCTCTGATCCTGTTCTCATCCGGCTCAGGCCGCCCGGGGCTGACGCAGGGGCCGCAACACGGACGTCAGGGGTCACGGGGTCACAGGCGTCGCCTCGATGTCATCCGCGTGTGTGGCCCCGGGACGGTGACCCCGAGGCCGGGCGGGGGCGGGTGCTGCGCACAGTGAACCTGGAAACAGTGATCCCCTCCATTTGTGGCTCCAGTGAGTGCTGTGCACAGTGATCCCAGGAACAGCAACTCCCCTGATGTGAGGTGCTGTCAGGTGCTGTGCACAGTGATCCAAGACATAGCGTCTCCCTGTGATGTGTGATGACGTCGGGTGCTGCGCACAGTGATCCCAGCAACAGTGACCCCAGATGCAGCTGCCGGGTGCTGTGCACAGTGATCCCCGACATAGCATCTCCCCGCGATGCCTGGCGCTGTTGGGTGCTGTGCACGGTGATCCCAGACACAGTTACCCCACTGATGGTGTCGGGTGCTGTGCACAGTGATTGCAGCAACAGCAACTCCCCAATGTCTGGCTCCGTCAAGTGCTGCGCACAGTGATCCCCGACATAGCGTCTCCCCGCGATGTCTGGGGCTGTTGGGTGCTGTGCACGGTGATCCCACAGTGACCACCCCGACATGTGGTGCCGTCGGGTGCTGTGCACGGTGATTCCAGCAACAGTGACCCCCGATGTCTGGCTCCACCAAGTGCTGTGCACAGTGATCCCAGAACACCTGACCCCCCGGGGCCACGTGTGACACCTGAAATCCTGATAGTCGGTGCCCCCGGGTGCTGCGCACAGTGATCCCAGGAAACGAGATCTCCCAGGGCCGTGTGACACACGAGTCCCCAATATCGGGTGCTGCGCACAGTCATCCAAGAGAGAACCACCCAATGTCTGGTGCTGTCAGTGCTGTGCACAGTGATCCCCGACACAGTGTCCCCGAGGCCGGGCGGGGGCGGGTGCTGCGCACAGTGATCCAAGAAAATGCGACCCCTCCCCGGGGCCCACGTGTGACACGCAAGTTCCCTGTCAGGTGCTGTGCACAGTGATCCCAGAGTGAACCCGCGACGTCTGTCTTCATTGGGTGCTGTGCACAGTGATCCTGGAAATAATGACCCCCTCCACGATTGGCTCCAGTGAGTGCTGTGCACAGTGATTCCAGAGTCAGTGACCCCCGATGTCAGGCACCGCCGGGTGCTGCGCACAGTGATCATGAAAAATAGTGAACCCCAAAGTCTGGAACCCTCGGGTGCTGTGTGCACAGTGATCCCAGCGACTCCTCTCCCCATATCTGGCACCTTTGGGTGCTGTGTGCACGGTTATCCCAGCGACCTCCACGCCCACCCCCGATGTCTGTACCCGCCAGGTGCTGTGCACAGTGATCCCAGACATAGTGACCCCCCGGGTACTGCGCACAGTCCCCCCCGTGACGCCCACACAGACCCCGGACTCCGGGCCACAGCACTGGGCTTTTATTTTCTCACACGGGGGTCGCGCGGGACGCCGACCCCTGACCCCGCGGGGCCCCGGGGGTCGGCGACGTCAACTGGGGGGGGTGGAGAGAACCGGGGGAAAAAGAACAAGCACCCGCGAGACTCAGTCCTCCTCTGCGGGCTCCACGCAGAAAATGGGCGGGGTCAGTGGGGTCATCGGGGTCAATGGGGTCATCAGCGGGGTCAGCGGGGTCATTGACGTCATCGGGGTGGTGGGGGCGGAGGGGACACGGGAACCGGAAAAAGCAAAACTAAAACAAGCACCCACAAGACTCAGTCTTCGGCGAGGTGCGGCGTGGAAAAGGGACGCGGCCAGTGGGGTCATCAGCGGGGTCACCGGCGGGGTCATTGAGTTCATCGGGGTGGGGGGGGCGGAGGGGGCCACACGGCAACCGGAACAAAAAAAAACAAGCACCCGCGATACTCAGTCCTCCTCGGGGCACGTTGTGGAAAATGGGCGGGGTCAGCGGGGTCACTGGGGTCACAGGGGTTACCGGCGGGGTCACTGACGTCACCGGGGCCTCACCGGCTCCAGGCGCCGCCCCGGTGGTGGCGCGGGGACCGCGACCTCGACCTCGGCGACCTCGACCTCGGCGACCTCGGGGGCGG